TGTCCCCTCAGACTTATATCTGTTTATGTAATGATTGCAGGTTTTAGATATAATGTCTGATTAATTGAAAGTAGATATGTATGCTGGAATGTTTTGAAATAATTTTGGATATGGAAAGGGGTTTGTCACTTTATTTATTACTTTACGAACTTACAAGAGAATAAAGAAGCTATATTTGTACATTCCGGGGTAGAATAGGTCTTCAGCAACCCATGCTTGCCGTAAAAGGTGACTATGCTTGTCGTAAAAGGCGACTAACGGGATCGGGTGGTCAAGCTCGCTGACTTGGTTGAAGCATGCCATCGATCCCAATTGCGTGGATCGATGCTCATGGTATCAATCACTGGATTGTCTGGTCCAGACTCGATTATTTTACAGACCGCCGTCATATAGCTGGAGTATTGCTGAGTGCGGCGTCAAACAACAAACCAACCAACCAACCAACTATATTTGTACAGTAGTTCGCTGGCGATTTATTCGGAAGTCAAACGTCAAACGTCTTTATTTATGACGTCAAAAAACAGCAACGATAAAGCCCCTTTTCTCCTGGTGGGTCACAATATTATATTTACACACGTTTGTTTGAAAATGCGTTTGTCCCCATTATCGGAATTAGCCTTGTTCAAATATGGAATGTGTTGTGTGGCCTCGTTTGGAGGTTTGCCATGTCTTTTCAATGTTCTTCATAGAACTAACCAATTCTTTGTGGTTGGCGTTAGATGTAAGACGCTTAACCTCCGTAAACTTGTCTTTTTCACTCTTTGCAGACGATGATAGATTGAAGTGTCCCCTGGTTCTGACTACTTTACAATAAAGTGTCTTTGGTGTTGTCAGCAGCACTTTATGAGGATCAAGGGGTGATGCCGGAAGAAATGAACTTTGATAAACACAAACAATTCCCCGAAGTATTCTTTAACATCTTAAATACAATTAGTCCACTTGTGTCTTTCGGTAGAGCCGATGTCCTATCACTCTGTAAATATTTACTTTCGCCACAACACAAGGCTCCATGTATAAGTTACTGTTGCAACGCTAATGTTAGTTAACGCGGCTTTTTGAAGTGCAGATTCTATCTGAAAACTTACAAGACGTTTTCCGATTTTGATCAAAATATGAATATTATGATTTTTTCATTTAAATGCATGTTTCATTTGGTGGCAAGTCGAATAATGTATATCATATATCACAGCGTCTTGTTCTGTAGTCAATATTGTCAAATGGTTTGAGATACCTTCGCTCATAAAAATGAACTGTTAACGAAGTCGGTAGCATTAATCCGAAAGGCACATACAGTAAACTACGGTTATAACGAACACGCTTATAACGAACTGACGGATATAACAAACTTACTTTTTGGTCCCGACTACTTGCTGTAGTCATGCTGTATATGTACTTATAACGAACTACGGTTATAACGAACTAAAATTAGTAGTCCCTCTGAGTTCGTTATAACCGTAGTTTACTGTATATATGTTCTAATTTTCACACCATACCTTTCAATCGTACACCCCTTTCATTAAGTGAGTTGGATTCAACTCTGCTTTGAACAGTGCAGTAAACTACGGTTATAACGAACTCAAAGGGACTACTAATTTTAGTTCGTTATAACCGTAGTTCGTTATAAGCATATATACAGCATGACTACAGCAAGTAGTCGGGACCAAAAAGTAAGTTCGTTATATCCGTCAGTTCGTTATAAGCGTGTTCGTTTTAACCGCGGTTTACTGTATTTCAATTATATCTCGGCATGAATACCACTTTCAATGCAAACACAACAATTACAGCCAGCAGTGTGTCAGCATACAATAACCGGAATAGGCAATACTGAATGTTTCCCTGGAATTATTTGAATTATTTATAACCAGCTATCCTATGTATGCATGTTTAACTACATTAAATCCATTAAAAATTGACGTTTACATCTAGATGAGGTGGGTCAATCAGTGGAATGGCATTGGCTATTTGACAGTTATTGAAGGGTATCAGATCATCGATATACCTGAAGGTTCAGTTACACTTCTTGGCCAATTTCCTTGTTTTGATTTTGCCAATGCGAGAAGAAATTTTGAATTGTGTGCACAAAGAAACTGATCGGGAAGGAGGGGCCCACGGGGACAAATTAAAGTAAACTACGGTTATAACGAACACGCTTATAACGAACTGACGGTTATAACGAACTTACTTTTTGGTCCCGACTACTTGCTGTAGTCATGCTGTATATGTACTTATAACGAACTACGGTTATAACGAACTAAATTTAGTAACCCCTTTGAGTTCGTTATAACCGTAGTTTACTGTACTACAAATTTCCAATGTATGTTATCAAAGAAGAAGTCCAACATTTCACATATTGTTTTCTTAGCAAACTTATGTGACACCTGATTTCATGTTTGACAAATTGTCCCGAACCTCCGAAGATAGAGATGTAATTATATCTGTGGTCACCACGTATAGTGACAAATACCTCAAGGATCAAGGAAGGAAGGTCTTTTCTTAGATTGCACGAATTCAAGCAAATCCCTTTGGTTTTTTTGGAATCCACATTGTATTAATACCACTTGTCTCAGATACTTTCTGTGAATGTAAAGAAAGTCCTTCCTTGATCGTATTAAGGATTATGTTTAATCTTTGAGACAGGGCTTTAGTGGTATATTTTTGCTGAACTCTCTTTGTACAGATTATTATGAAGCTTTGAAATCCAGTACAAAAGATAAATGTCCATGTGTTCAAGTTTTAGATTCAAAGCAAGAGCTAATACTGACGCGTGGTTTTGGCAGTGTCTAGGTTAACATACTGACCTCGCGTCTGGCATTACTGGATATGTCAATTCAAGAATTTCTCGGACAATATATTTTGTTCGATAAAATGGCGTAGTCTGTGAGAAGACCAAGGGTAAACGTCCACCTACAATTGACCAGAGTGTAGTTTGTGACAAGAATTGACCAGAGCGTAGTTCGTGACAAGAATTGACCAGAGTGTAGTTTGTGACAAGAATTGACCAGAGTGTAGTTCGTGACAAGAATTGACCAGAGTATAGTTTGTGACAAGAACTGACCAGAGTGTAGTTTGTGACAAGAATTGACCAGAGTGTAATTCGTGACAAGAATTGACCAGAGTGTAGTTCGTGACAAGAATTGACAAGAGTATAGTTCGTGACAAGAATTGACCAGAGTGTAGTTCGTGACAAGAATTGACCAGAGTATAGTTCGTGACAAGAATTGACCAGAGTATAGTTCGTGACAAGAATTACCAGAGTGTAGTTTGTGACAAGAATTGACCAGAGTGTAATTCGTGACAAGAATTGACCAGAGTGTAGTTCGTGACAAGAATTGACCAGAGTGTAGTTCGTGACAAGAATTGACCAGAGTGTAGTTCGTGACAAGAATTGCGTAAACACCAGCTGCACAGCGCCCTTTTTACAACATGTCCAATGCCAAGTCAATTTAAGTTTATATAACGAGCACTAGTTCTACATGTTTGAGAAATATATAAACATCAGTACTACGAGTTTACTCAACTTTGCACCCTATCCGTGGTTGTAAGATATATTTGTTCCACAGGGAAAACATAAATACTTCAGTTGGAGACATTACCATATATAAGTCAAATTCGTATTCCAATTTTAGTCACGCCAACACTAAAGAACACATTTCGAGCTATAATAAAATTTTAATCTGCCTTCCGTCGTTCGGATAGAGTACCATTTTAAAGTTCTTTTCGCATATATCTTCCCAAAGTACATGCCCCTGCCCCTTGAGTCTTTATGTAGAAGTCCTATGCTTAATGTCAGTTCAATCTGCATGTATGCCACCTTGGCTGTGTATGCTCTATCCGTGACAGGAAATGCGTCCTCCTCAGCGAGCTGCGATACCGCTGGGAAATCATCTTCGGGTTGATCAACTGGTTTCAGTGACTTGGAAGGACAGATTTCAACGAAAAAGGGTGTAAAACAGTCCAGACCTATATATCTTAGTCGTTAACATGCCGTAGCCTTGTAGATTAATTTGTAGCTTAAATTGGCACGTTATTGGGGTCGGTTTTGTGTTAAAGTGATTCACACTGATGTCATCATCCACTTGAAACTTGTTAAACTTAAGACGTTCAGTGTAATCGGATGATATCACTCACTCTCTCAATAAATCTTGAATGACCATTCTGACTTTGAGCAATAAGGCTACAGCCATCGTTCAGCTTTTATCTATGATTGGTTTGTATTAAGGATTTGGTTCACAATCTTTCGTGAAATGTTCTAGAATTTTTTTTCTCTCGCATATCAGTGAAAATTGTTTCGGGATGTGAACAGCATACTGAGTCCTTATCATTGACAAGAAACCATCACCGACAAACGGGATCGGGTGGTCAGATTCTCTGACTTGGTTGATGCATGTCATCGTTTCCCAATTGCGTGGATCGATGCTGATGATGTCAATCACTTGATTGTCTGGTCCAGACTCGATTATTTACAGACTGCCGTTATATACTGAAATATTGCTGAGTGCGGCGTTAAACAACAAACAAACAAACAAACAAACAAAGAGAAACCATCGCAATTCAGAGATATAGGAAATTAAACACAATGTGTAATGAATGTATTCCATCTCCTGAATCAATATAAGCTATATACTCATACAAATACTTCATGCATGACAATTTATTTATTGATCAACAAGGAAATGCGAAACCTTACAAAAACGATAGAGACAATTTAATATTTTCGACCTTTTCCTTAAATGGAAATGATGTGAGAGATTGAATTGACGTTGCTAAAAAATTATTCAATTCACATCACGGCGGGGGACAACGATATCACCTATATCATTAGGGAATCGAACCCGGATCTTCACCTCAACGAACAAACGTTCTAACTACCAGGCCACCTTACCGACCCCTTGTAATGCTGACATTTGCATTGATGATATATCTCATCTGTTGATGCGACCAAAGCATCACGGCATCATTAAGTAAGTTTAACCAACTCCATATGTGACACAAAAGACGAAGACAATGGAAAGCTGTTTATTCGGCAAAACATACTTTGTGACATTACGCTGGCCCCTTTAATTATATACCTAACATATACCCGACATATATTGGACTTTACCGGACATACATCGGATATGTATATATGATATATAACCAACATACATGTATATCCGACATAAACATGCACATTTCGATTATAACACGTGACATTACCCGCGTCGATGGCTAGTACAGGGCAATGGCTTTCTCATAGAACAATCGGCATCTGCTATCAATGTTACCATCAAAATATTTAGATTTCTTACTTATCATAGGAGGGCTTTGGTTAAGAGAAAATAGAATTTCTATTATCGCCATTAAGACAATGGGAATCTGACATGCAACTCGCCGTAATACGATAAACCACATGAGAGTGTTTTAAACATCATTGTGCTGGCAATATTCACGCGACACCACCCTAGGAGGTCAAGGCTATCGGTCTGTCCCAAAGCTACAATCAAGACGTGTACTTAATAAAACGTCATTAGTTAATTAATTGACTGGGGTATCGTTAATTAATACACGTGACCACGTGTGAAGAATATTTCTTTCAGAACCTTATCTGCCTTGGCATCGTACCTAAAGGACAGTCGTTTACCTTCCATCACAGAAATACAGAGCTTTGATAATTCAACAGCAATTACGGATGAATAATGGATGGCCAACATACGTATCCTCGCAGATCACCCTGGCATTTAGTTCGAGCATTCTGTGATGATAAAGTTAAAACTTGCTTCAAGTTGTTATTTTCAGATTCTAACATTGCACGTGAGATTGCACATTGGGTTGACGTCTGTGTCTTAAGTCATGCATTATTTTAGATGATAACGATGATGTCGCAAAGAAAGCAATGATGAAGACGCTGGTGTTTCAGCTGTAGTTGAACCTTCTGATGACCTGTGAGCCAGGGCAGCCGGACCTGAAAAGGAGAAAGACAATGATAGAGAAGAGGAAACAAAGAAAACATCGACATGTACCTCGTTTCGCATTACTCAATTCTATTTGTCTTTGTTAACATTGAAAGTAACCAACTTGAAATAGGTTCGATATGATTACAAAACATAATGACACCTACACTTCTAAATGTTGACCCTATGAGACCGATATAGTTATAATCATTTCAATAAATCATCAATGTTGACAGTAATAACATGTTTTCAAGATATGCTTTTATAAGAACTTTTGGACTATTTAAATAGCTAACAATTTTCAATCACTGGTTGCGTAAAGAAATTGTTGATATTCCATTTTGTTGTTGATTTAATTTACGCAATATATTAAACGACAGTAAAAAAAAAAAAGTTAAAAATTCATATTTTTTATTTGAGGTGTTTGAACATTGAGGTGATATGTGAGTGAGTATGGTTTTACGCCGCTTTTTGCACCATTCCAGCAATATCACGGTGGGGTACACCAGAAATGGGCTTCACACATTGTACCCATGTTGGGAATCGAACCCGGGTCTTCGGCGTGACGAGCGAACGCTTTAACCACTAGGCTACCCGATCGCCCCTAGGAGGTGATATGTAGTGGTATGTCACAGGTGCCAATGTGTTTTTGTTCATTTAGATGATTTGCATCTTCTTACAGTGCGCACTTGTCGACTAAAATATTTATAGAAGTTCTTTTTAATCATTCAGAATGGATTCTACCCTATTCTAGGTTTAGGAAAAAACGAGAATGCAATGGAAATACGTCCAGACATTATGGACTACCAAGATATTTGTAGACATTTTCAACCCCCCAGGACTGTACCAATTCGCCGTAGTATCACGGCATTGCGATACTTTTTTGCTTCGAACCAAGCATCAAGACGGGAAATGATCTATCGATACGAAAGTTTCTATGTATAGGACGACATTTTATTCTGTGTTAAGAAGAAAGGTAAAGAGATTATATAGAGATTTGCAATCCTTCACTTTTGCTTTGTATTTGTCTGTAGTCATGGTATTATGCATGGTATCACATAGCGTGTATCGTAACTTTTAAGATAGCTACGCGATAAATCGCAAACAGCAATGAAGAACGAAGCGTGGTTTATTTCACGATAAAACATTGTTCTATCATCGCGTCATTTCTGGAGATTCGAATATGCACTCGCAAGTTGATGATGTCATATATTGTACGGTGTTATTTTTGAGAGGGAAGTGTCTAGTGAGTTGTTCCCCATATATGTAGCTCGGCAACGTAGATAAACACGATGACCGAACGATCGCATCCAAAAGTGTGAGAGATTTGACAATCAGTATAAGAAGAAAAGGTACGTGAGGATTGTGAGAACACGAGGGAAATATTTAACTTCACCCACCTATTCGTAAAATGGAATTGTTCGACATTGCCAAGGTCGAACTCTATTCGGGGAGTTATGATCAAAATTGAAGTAACTATTTTTAAAGCGTGCACATTTTGTCAACATCCTCAAAGAGGCTGTACATAATGTTGATATCTCATATAAGAAAAAAACCGACTCGTGGTTGTTGTTTATCGTTCAGTAAAAGACTGCAGGGAGAATAAGCCACTCGTGGTATATTCTCCCTGCAGTGTTTTATTGTACGATAAACAACTCCCGATCGTTTATTTCTTAAATTGTGCATACATCTTCTCTTATGTTACTGATCATGTATCGTATAATGCATATTTTCACGCGTTTTATCATGCAACTTATCATATATATCATACCTTGCATTGTATAACGTATGCATCTTATCATGAATCACATGTATGTTATCATGAATCGTATGACACATTGTATAACGTTTGTATCATATCGTGAATCACATACATATATTTTATCATAAATCGTATGACACATTGTATAACGTTTGTATCTTATCTTGAATCACAAATGTATATTATCATAAATCGTATCATGCATTGTATAACGTTTGTATTTTATCATGAATCCCATGTATATCATCATGAATCGTATCATGCATCTTATCATGTGGATTACCATGTATCATGCATCTTATCATGTGGATCACCATGTATCGTGTATTTTATCATGCATCTCATGTGTCTAATGTAGAGTATCTTGCATTATATCACATGTGTCTTGTCATGCACCTTATGTGTCGAGTCATGTACGGTATAACGACCTTACTATAAACATATCCATTCAAAATTGTAAAATCATTATCCAGAAAAACACACTATACAAACTAATCATAGGACATTTTACTTTTTATGTTCAATCAGTACAGCACGACGGACTGACCAGACCTTGTTAGTGATCATGAGAGGACGACAAACAAACGGAGAGAAACCACATCGCCTGTACACTGCGGCACTTATCCCCCGACTGTCCCCCGAATGCTCTACTCACCGAGACTGCTGTTTTAAGGCTTGGTGAGGTGGCTGTTGAGATCACGTCGCCGGCGACCGGGGCTGTGAGGACTACGTAGATAATAGTACTGGCTAGCTGCGCGGTCCAGAGACTCGGTCAAGCAGAGGCCCCCTAGTCGCAGACTGCACGATCTCTTCCTGCAACACATGGCACAATCAGATTAGCCAACTCTTCCATCCATAGAGACATTAGGTCTTTGAAAGGCATTTAGAAGTGATAAACAAAAGGAAGAGAATATATGGATTTCAACTTCTGCATTACGAGGAACGCAACGTATCGGCTTCCTTTGTCTCCTATCAGCGACAATCATATGTTGGCTTACTTTGTTAGCTTCTACCGTTTGTTATTTTCTACCTTTTGTTGTCGTATTAATTTGGTTGTCCTTACATGTACATATATATGCTCTCTGCCTCATGGCATTCATTCACCTGATGAAGGAGTAAAAATATAGTCCGAAACGTTTAGTTTCTAATATTAAAGAGGTTGACATCCATATATTATCTCTGTGGGCACGGGTGGCCCAGTCGTCTAAGGCGCCGCGATTCGCTGTGCAGAGTTGCGATTCGCTGTGTAGATTTGCGTCCCTTTGGCACACCAGAAACCTATGATTGTGGGTTCGAATTCCGGTTCGCCCCGATTATGTTTCTAGGTTTGTCCACCATACCCGTGCTCGTGGGCAAACGGTAAACGTCTGAGACCTGCATCACTTCGGGCTTTCCTCCCACACTTAGCTGACACGGCGCGAGATAACTAGAATACTGTTAAAAGCGGCGATAAGCCCAACTCACTCACACTCACACCCATATATTCTCTTCCTCATAGAGACATTGTTTTGGCCAGTGTTTATGTAGAACTGCCCATTTAAATCCCCAAACCGCATTGTCACACCCCCAATCCCCCATACACACACCTCCCCTCTCCCCTAACTATTGATAGCCCTGAAAATCAGTCATTGAAATGACATGTTTAAAAGACTTTTTTAATAAATTCACGAGCCTAAGAGCAATTGTTTGCCAATCAAAAACGATTCTCCTGAACTATCTCATACTTTACCGATCCATATTCTGGATAATGTTTTCTTATAACGGAAAAAAGCTGCTTTGTTACCTACGATGTTCACAATGGTAAGCGTATATGAGTAGCTTAGATTAGACCTAAAAAACTACATATTGAATAAATTATATTTAATCGTTACTACTGCATCAAATACAGACGAATATAGTTACATCTGCCAAGTGAAAACATCCAACTATTACCTGTACAGCCTTACCACACAATTAGTGTCACCAATACAACCCAATACTCAACCTCTTTTTAACGCCGGAATAAAAAAAAAAATTAATATGAAAACGTATTATTAAATACGTCACTAATAGATACTGTTACATAGCCTGATCAAAAGGTTGACTTCAGTGAAATATTTTGTGGTCTTGACATTTCATATGTTTTCTTAAACACATGTTGTCAAATTCAATACACCATTCATGTACTCACGACAAGTAATTAGCCTTAACGTATTTGCTATCCCAATACCCATATGCTATGTTTAAATCACTGGTTTCTGAGCACGAAATACAATGGCAATGATACCACTTGCAGGCTAATACATTTCGTTATTGCAGGATGTAAGGCTCGATATATCTTCCATAGCACCTCTTTAAATATTGATGCATTAACTTGAATTGTTATTATGCGTTTCGAGAGCTCTTACTTTCTTGATTATTTTGACGTTCTCGGATTTGGGGGCGATGTTGAATTTCATTGCCAGAGACATACTTGTATTGTCATTGATTGTACAAAAATATGACAATGATTTATCTTTTCATTTTCTATACCTTATACCCAAGAATACCTTTGCCAATCTTCATTTGCTATGCGATGCATAGTTATAAAGCTTATGTATCTTTTTAAATGTTTTAGCGCATATTATTTAACTAATGTCTACATTAATGGAAAAATGCATTATTAACCGCCTAATTACACGATGTCAAACATATACCATGACATCATTGACGTCACACACGATTTTCATCTTGATTCTTTAAATTCAAAATGCATTGAAATAACAGTTTGTAAGAAATAATGAGATTTTGAAACCTAAAATTGTATAAATTGTTAATTTCAATCTCGTCTTAAAATACCAATTATACCGATAAGCACACAGCACTTATCAAATTATCGCCTTGTTAGAATATTATTCTGTAAGAGATCCATCAATACATTTGACTACTGAACTGTATCAGTGGAGTGTCACGAGAAGAGACATAAAGTTATGAACACTTCAAATATATTCATGGTATAGGTCTTGTTCTATAGCCACGTGGGTTGCCTAGCAACTCCATCCATGTAAGAGCATGCTAACACTGGGATCCGGTGTTCCGACCCGTTTCATAGTACCCCGATTTACTTTATCCTTCGTAATGCTTTCAGGCTCAGCTTTGCTTAACCAGGACACGTATATTTACAGTCCGTCGTGAGCAGTAAAACAACATTCACTCGCTCTGGCACCAAACTTACAACTGCAAAAATGAACGGAAAGAAAGTTAAGACCGTACAATAAACAGGAGCTGCCTTTGAAACCCAATCGTCTGTGAGATTCTAAGTGTTTCCCATTCTAATCAACAGACCAGTGGTAAAGGTATAAATGATCTTACCTCGGTGGTGGCTGGATTTCTTTCTGTTTAATCTTGAGGAGAAGGTACTTGAGCGTTGCTATAGCCTGGCGTTTGAGTGATATCTGCTCCAGTTCACTGAAAAGAGTCAATCAAAATACAACCAACATTTCCAAGCAATTCGTATTTACAAACATGTACAAAATAGTCATTAAAAACCAAGCTTCATGATCAGGGCGAATCTGTGTTTGGAGCCGACGCTCATAGGATCCTGATATATATAAGGGACGCAACTCTGCACAGGGAATTTCGGCGCATTAGACGACTGCGTCATCCGTGCCCCTGTACACCTCAGTAACTTGTCTGTACACAAAGCAATCCATCCATCACTGTTACCAATACTATGGTACAGGAACATCAAGATGAAGTGAGGTGAAGTGGGTTGAACGTCGCGTCCAAGATTATTGCACTTATACAGCGACGTGCATGCACCTGTGTGTGTATCTGCTTGTACTAGTCCAGAGTAATGCCGATTTTAAAGTGCGCCGGTGATCGAACCCCGGCCCATTGAGATACCAGCAACTGACTCCGAGCCGACCAGTTCTTGTTTAAGCCCCTTAATGCCAAGTGCCAGGCAGGGTAATAACAAATACCATCTTTTAACTTCTTTTGGTATGATGCGGCCGGGGATCGAACCCCGGACCTTTCGCTCTCCGGGCGGCCCTTCTACCACTAGATCACGGAGGGACCAGAAACATCAAGTCCACACCGAGTGTTTAGGAGGGCAAAGTCCATACTGCACTCAATGACCCCGACCAGAAAATGTTGATAATTTTGTCTCATCCTTATAAAAGACGACGGATGTAATTTCTATGGAAATCGAATATAACCATGTTAAATAACACCTTCAAAGAAAACGTTTTATGAACCAATACTGAGTCTTTGAGATAAGGATCTGAATTGATTCCAGAGGCTCCGTTAATGAACATCTTCTTTGTCCAATGTTGCTGATTACTCCAATGTATGGCATTGTTAACCAGCTTCAAGCGCTGAGGGCTAGTCTAATCACAGCGGAAGACAACAATATCAAGTCGGAATCAACCAAGCCACCACTTAATTTGCTGGGGTAATCGTGTTAGTAGCTCGGAACTGGCATCAGGAGAACACTGATACAGCAATTAATTAGTGAGTCTGGGAAGTCGATGAAGAAACAAGTTTGCGACCTGCGCTTGTGGGGTCAGACAGGAGTTGCAAGACCTCCTCCAGACGCAGCACCTGTGATCGGGGCAGACACATGTTATACGCTGGGGTCATACCAGTTTCACGTCATTCAACTATTACGTAAATAGTGTACGTGATCAGGAAGTCCTTTTTGACTTTGGATGGAATGTCCTTGATAATCCAAAAATGTGGTACCAGTAGAGAGATTTTTTATATAAATGACATAATTTTTTGTTAATGTATACATATATGCAACCATTGTTATATATGAACGATTCTCTTTATTCTGAGACCGCTTCCGTGGTTTTGTGGTAGAGCGTCCGCCCGGAGAGCGGAAGGTCCGGTTCGATCCCTAGACGCGTCATACCAAAATACGTTAAAAGATGGTACTTGTCGTTACCCTGCCTGGCGCTCGGCATCTAGGGGCTTAAACAAGGGCTGATCGGCACGGAGTCAGTATACCGTGTCTGATTGGGGTATTCATGTTAAACTGCGGCATGGTATCTCAGTGGGTTAGGACTATAAAATCGGCATTAGTCCGGACTAGTACAAGCACAAACACATACATACACAAGTGCATGCACGTTGCTATATCAGTGCAATAATCTTAAACACGACATTAAACCCTTTAACCTCACCTTTACCTTGACATTCATAACAACATTGAATTCGAAGATGAATGCCCTGTATTAATGAACTGTGACCGATATTCAAAAGTGAGAAAAAAAATAATGCTTTTCCACACCATTACTTGAGACTTTTGTAAGAGAGATGTCAATTGTAAACTTTCTTTGCACCCTAGCAATAAGATAAAATTAACATTGTATCAGCTATTAAAGATATATTTAAGGGACCGACCATACAATTGGACCATATAAACATCAACGCTTCAGGACAAACAGCTTCAGTTTTGAAAGGAGGCAACAAACATTTTTGGGATGCATTTGGATACATTTTTTCAGGATACCTAAAGAATAATTGAATATTGGGGTTTTGTCTGACACAAAATGATGGTCACCAAATGATCTGTAACTCAGGCCAATCATGAGCAAGAATTCATATACATTTATTCATACATGTATCCATTCTCTTTATGTTGTAAGTCTGTGGACAACTATGTAATGTTACCGTTCAGCAAGTTTTTGAAGTAAAAGGGTGTCTCTGTACTTGTTCGTCACCTTTCTTTTCTCGCATAAGTGAGTGAATGAGTTGGGTTTAACGCCGCTTTTAACAGTATTCCAGTTATATCACGGCGTGTCAGCTTAATGTGGGAGGAAAGCCCGAAGTGATGCAGGTCTCAGACATTTACCACTTCGGTGAAACCCACGAGCACGGGTATGGTGCTGACAAACCTAGAAACATAATCGGGGCCAACCGGGTTCGAACCCACAATCATAGGTTTCTGGTGTGCCCAAGGGACGCAACTCTGCACAGCGAATCGCGGCGCCTTAGACGACTGGGCCACCCGTGGCCCCTTTCTCGCATAAGACGCAATGTAAACACAAGCATGGCATTGTACACATGTCATCTACGGGTAGAAAGCATGGAATCATATACAAGTCTGTAACTACTTAACACAATCGTCATACTGGTGTCTTCCCAATGTGCCTACAGTCCCATTCTGCCTACAGTAAAATCATGAAATGATACTGTCTGATGCTTAGAAAGTGATGCATGCATGAACATGACTGTTACCTGTTTCACCTGTGATTGGAGATAAACTGGTCCATACTCAGGCACAAACACAGTGTAGGCACCATGGTAAACACTTGTGAAATGAAATAAAACCATTACATGACGAAAGTCAAGGGTACATCTTAGCATTCACCTTAGTGATGCGCCGACCTTTGCACCCTATATAAGATCCGGGGTAGAACAGGTCTTCAGCAACCCATGCTTGCCGTAAAAGGCGACTATGCTTGTCGTAAGAGGCGACTAACGGGATCGGGTGGTCAGGCTCGCTGACTTGGTTGATGCATGTCGTCGTATCCCAATTGCGTGGATCGATGTTCATGATGTAAATCACTGGATTGTCTGGTCCAGACTCGATTATTTACAGACCGCCGTCATAAAGCTGGAATATTGCTGAGTGCGGCGTAAAACAACAAACCAAAAACTTGCACCCTGAATGCACATACTGTAAGTGTGTTGCTGCCTGACGTCTCACGCTGAGACGGTTACGATAACCAACAGTACAAGCTTGACTTGATAGGGTTACAGATATTTTTTTAAAATAATTCAAACAACAATTGTTTAGTCCATTTACATATTAGGGCAGAAACTGAGTTCCCAATATGCCTACATTATTTTCTGTAGGCAAATTGGTATGTAGGCAAAATGGGATGTAGGTAGAATGGGATTGAACCGTCACATTAGATTATTATCTCCCTGTTTGTGGCTTACGTAGTACCATTAGGGGTCAGTGTATATATGTAAATACATCTTTCGAGTTAGCTTGTTCAATCGGGCATCCATGATAAGGAGTTATGGGCACACCGTAAAATCCATTTTATGAATATTTTGCTAATAACATATAATGGACGATAAGAGAACCCCAGACACAACACACGTTGAGCGTATTGGCCTGATCTCACCGACCAACATGTGGGCAGAGAAAAGCATAATTTGTTCAGTTCCCGAGTGGCTGTTTAAAAATGTTTCCTAGCGCAGAAGAACTTCACAGCTTACAAGACACGAAGGCACATGGTCAAAGTGTCTTCTTCTTTTCAAAAGTTATAAAATTAATCTTCAGGTGCAAAAATCAATCTTTCGCTTTTTCCTCTGGTTTCCCATAAACACACATTATCCTATTTCCCTCAAAAATAAAACAAAAAAACCGAAACATAATATACACCTTGGCATATCCTTATATGCACAGGCATTCGCAATTTTGCCACGTTCGCAGAACAGTGTCCCCAATAAGAAAATCAATAGTAATGATATTGCCAACATATATTTCTGTAAAAAGGTTAATAGTCGCGAACCGAGACTGCTGACTTCAGCAGAGGACTGTCATTGTGTCAAGAAAGACTAGGGTAAATGGAGGCGAGTTTTTGCTAAATGTTATGTTTGCATATTGCAACCTGTGTATCATATCATGTCTGCCTGCAAATATATAATCAGAGACCGGGACAGAAGCTATCTGGTATATTTCAAATTCATACAAATGAAAATTCAATTCAGTTTGTGACAGGTGAGACAATTAAATAAGGTAGAAAGACATCAGCATCCACAGGCACATACATATTGGTTTACTTCTTGCTTTGATGAAAGTCATTGCCAAAGATGAAGAAGATACTGGAATGTCACTGACCACTCGAGAACTAAAATACATATATGCATTATTTAATAATAATAATAATAATAATTGATTTGTAAAGCGCCTAATATCAATCGACAGTTGCTCACTGGCGCTGTGACAAAGTTAAAAAGTAATGTCTATGTACATATGCCAACAATCAGGAGATCTATTGAAAAGCTGAAGTGAAGAAGTGGGTTTTGAGGAGAGACTTAAACGTTTCCTTAGAAGCAGAGTTTCTCAGATTCAAAGGCAAAGAGTTCCATAACTGTGGACTGCAAAAGGAGAAGGCACGGTCAGACATAGCAGAAGTAGACGGAGGCTGATACAGTAGAGTTCCACCAGAGGATCGGAGAGCACGCTCTGGAGAGTACATGGATATAAGATCTTTGAGATAGTCTGGATAGTCGCTATTGTTGAGGCAATCGTGAGTGATGATACATATCTTATAGTTTATACGAAAGGAGACTGGAAGCCAATGTAGTGCTTTGAGGACAGGACTGATGTGATTGGATCTTGGAACTTTAGAGATGCATCTAGCTGCAGAGTTCTGCATGCGTTGTATTTGAAAGCAATAATGTCCCTTCTAGGATTCCATACATGTCTAAAAAAAATATAATTGCATTTTTTTAGCAGTCACTATTTCTTCTTTTGTTAAAACATTTTATATAAAAATACCCCTTTGACGTCAAACAACGACATACTCTCGAGTGTTTCAAGATTAAGCTCGTGTTTCTGTATTGGAAAATGTAATGTTTTGTTACTGATCACTGATGTTTGTTTTAGGCCTCTACACTTTATACTTTGTTAGTTTGTTTGTTTGTTGTTTAATGCCAAATATTAAAGCTCTATGACAGCGGTCTGTAAATAGTCGCGTCTGGATCAGACAAGCCAGTGATTGACTTCATGAGCACCGATCTATGCAATTGGGTTGCGAAGACATGCATCAACCAAGTCAGCGAGCCTGACCACCCGATCCAATTAGTCGCCTCTTACGACAAGCATGGCTTGCTGATCTTCACAGATAATCAGTGAAACGCATGATATGTAACAGTGGCAACTATGCTTGTCGCAAGAGGCAACTAATGGGATAAGGTGGTCAGGCTCGCTTACTTGGTTGATGCATATCAGCGTATCCCAAATCCGTAGATCGATGCTCATGATGTCTATCAGTGGAATATCTGGTACAGATTCGATTATTTACAGACCGCCAGCATATTGCTAAGTGTAGCGATAAACAATAAAGAAACTGAAACTAAATCTGCGCAACAGACGTACATGTACAGATTGAAGTTTTCATATATCCTAGCCTTCTTTAGATCGCGGACGTTCACCAGACAAGATGGATTTGTAACAAAGGCAGCTAAAGCCTGAAGATTCAACACGTTCATGCCGTAACATTCTAAGTTAACTTTGATCATTAGTTCATTGGTTTTACTGTGGCTGTGTTCTGAACATGACCTTTCGAGAAGCCACTAATGACACAACACCACTAATGCTTCCATATTTGGAAATATTTCATTTCATAATGGGGCTACGTTTTTTGGTCACGACTCACAAACACACACCTTCCTGTCTGAGGTTCAAGTCTCAAACCGATCAATTATCACAAAGTTCTTCTGAACCATGATTTTCATAAAATGGAAAAATCAATAGTTTTCAGTTTATTTAAAGCTTTGCTAAAAATTTACCCGTTCGAAACGAACTAACCACACCTTTTCATACTTAATTGCAGGCACCATGGTCTCTGAAGAGCAGGCACTAAATAGAGCACAATCTCCGGTTACATCCTGATTATAGACGATAGAATCAGTACTTACAATTGTCGTTTCTTTATCGCCAAGAGCCTAAAGACATTATCACCATTCAAAGGTGGGGATGAGGTGAGGTGAGGTGAAGTGGGATGAGGTGAAATGGGGTTATCGGGTTTAACGCCGCGTTCAAGATTAATGCGCTTCTCTCCTTCTCTCTCTCTCTCTCTCTCTCTCTCTCTCTCTCTCTCTCTCTCTCTCTCTCTCTCTCTCTCTATATATATATATATATATATATATATATATATATATTTGTGCGTGGGCGTGTGCGTGTGCGTGTGTTTGTGTCTGCTTGTACTAGTCGGGCTAATTCCGCTTACAAAAGGGCTTGCCCACTGATCATGAGCTACGATGCCGGAGTTTAAACTCAGACACAGTGCACTGGTTCCTAGCCGATCAGTCCATGTTATATTAGGTCAGGGCACCTCCCCCCTCCCAGACGCTCTACCCATCCATTTGTTTGATGTGTATACAATGTATTCATCCTTGTTCAATGTGTCTATACAAGGTCTCCATCCTTTTTGTGTGATTATGCAAGGTATTCATGTTTTATAACCAGGTTTTTCTTTCCCCCTTTGTGTAACCGTCACAAACACTTACTAAGCATCGTTTTATGTGATGTGTACACTTTCTGTGGGGGTATGGGAAAGTTAGCCACGTTCTACGTGATCTGTACGACACGAAGCCACTTTTATGTGGCGTATAGGAAAGGTAGCCACGTTCTACGTGATGTGTCCGACACGAAGCCACTTTCTATGGGGCGTATGGGAAAAGTAGCCACGTTTTATGTGATGTGTGTGAAAGGTAGTCACATTCTATCTTGTGTAAAGGAGTGTTTGGGTTTAGCGCCGCTTTGAACGTTATTCCAGTGATATCACGGCGTGTCGTCTTGTTGTAGGAGGAAAGACCGAAATGATGCAGATCCCAGAAGTTTACCACTTTGGTGAAACCCAGGAGCACGGGTATGGTGCAGACAAACCTACAAACATAATAGGGTCGAACCGAGATTCGAACCCACAATTATAGGTTTCTTGCGTGCCAAAGGGACGCAATGCAACTCCACCCACGTGCCCGTCATGTATTGAAACGGCAGCCTCCTTCAATGTGATATACAGGAACTGTATCAAAGTTCTATATATTGTTTTTACAATTCCAAGTGTACATTAATTGAAATGCGGGTTCAAGATAATGTAGACATGAATAACTGACAACAGAGTGATGTAATGAAGCCAAGCTGTAATGATATAATGTACCCACCGCTCTGCCTCGCTGTGCATGTCGGGTGTCAGGGCACCGCCGTCCCTCTTGCCGGGGCTGTAGCCGTTGTTCAGCCATTCCCGTGACAGCATTCGGTCATCCATGCTGGCGAGGGCACAGTGGTGGCTGTTGATGCCTATGGCACACGTGCGCTTCCTGTAACACACAATGCACACGTGTTGACCACAAAATACTTCATTAAAATTTTATTTCAAGACAAAGTCAAATTTCATGGCTGATATTTGTGTAACGTTGAGCCCCATGTATATATGCATTTAATCAACAAGGTCAGACATAAAAAAAGCTTCGACCTGCTTTATTACGTACGTCGAGATACAGGATGGTGTATATAGTTACCTGAACTCATGTCGGGGTTCGAACCCCGGATATCTACATATATGTATTTGTTTATCGTCGTCTTCCCCTAACGTCGCATTAAGTAAACGAAAGTCATCACAACATTGAAGGCCTCAGTAAACATAACCGACGCAATTCCCTCTTTTGTCTTGAACCATATGTTCCCGTGTTTTCTTAGGTGAACAATTGACTTGCCTTCGTGTGTGTTTGTGACGGATGGGTCAGGATACGCTCACCTTTTCGCGATTACCTGGTATCATCAATATTTAACAGCGATTCATAAACACAAGCTCATGATAAAGTCGGAATTGTACAATCAACTTTGGCAGAAATCGTTTTGGGCAGAAATTTCTTACGAATATGGAAATAGTTGCGTCGCTGTTATTTATATCTTGAGGTACGGGAGTCCTATTAGTTTAATCGTGGGTTTGAATGCTAAACTATATCGCTTTGGCCATGTTCAACACAAGTTGACATGCTATGAGAACTAAAAGACTGTTCAAAGCGGCGTAAACAACTCACTCACTCATATTTTGAGGAAACACTTAAGACAGGAGACATATAGGGTGGTTTTAAACGAACAACTAATGATCGAAATGAGGGTAGTGGGGTAGCCTAACGGTTAAAGCGTTCGCGCGTCACGCCGAAGACCCGGGTTCGATTCCCAACATGGGTACAATGTGTGAAGCCCATTTCTGGTGTTCCCCTGCCGTGATATTGCTGGAATATTGCCAAAAGCGGCGTAAAACATACTCATTTACTCACTAGAAAAGATAATCATGCTTATGCTATGAAGTTTGCGTTTGTGAACTTGGCAAGGAAAATATGCAGTTTCACCTCTAGTTCTATTCTCACAAATATTCGTATTATTTATTTTCGTGTTTGCCATCTGGAGTAGGCAGACCAGAGGCTGGCAGCATGAGTAAAGATTCTTCTGACTTCTTCTGACCCTGCACACCCATGCTTGCCGCAAAAGGCGACTATGCTTGTCGAAAGAGGCGACTAACGGAATGGAGTGGTCAGGTTCGCTGACTTGGTTGATGCATGTCGTCGTATCCCAATTGCATGGATCGATGCTCATGATGTCAATCACTGGATTGTTTACAGACCGCCGTCATTGCTCGAATATTGCTGAGTGCGGCGTTAACCAACAAACAAACAAACAAACCCTACGGGATATCTTTATCCTGCATATTGATCGTGCTGCTGAGGTCATATTGCTGCATTGTGGAGGTCAATACGACATGACGACATTCTCTGTCTGTGACGTGTTAACATTATTGACATCAGATCAGTAAAAAAACGATAACACATTTACATAATCTGAAGAAATATCTGCTGGAAGCAGTTACCATTTTACAATTTCGACTGTATCATTAGCACGTGTTTATGAATCACTATCAATAAGTGATGATACCAGGTCAATATGTTGGCGTAACATCTCAATTTTTTATATAGGTCTGACATTCCATATACCTTTTCTCAATGGGGAATATTGAGATTAACGGAATGATGTGAGATCCAAGGCTGTTCCCTCGAAGGCTTTGCTTAAACAAGCACCTGTTCCGAACACCATGGGAAAATACAACTCAGCCTAAAGATAGGCGTTAGCATAGTTATCATCCAATGCCCTGTATCAACACATAGGCTTTGTAGGCCTTCATCATTATTAACGCTACAAGCTGGAATATTCATAACTATTATTGAACCTTTTTTCAAGTACTCATGCACATATTATTTTTATATGCATAGTGTGATTCATTTAACGTGTTGACATGAGTTAATGAATATGCATTTGGAATCGTGCCCCAAGGGGTGATATGAATGTGAAAGGACTACATATCCACTGTGCACCTACTGTTTGCTCTGTAGATCTGTGTCCATCCCGTCCAGGGCTGTCCGTAAGGCGCTCATGTCTAATTTGGACGTGTCTCGTTTCTGAACCGGGCTGTAATAATAATAACAATAATAATAATAATAATAATAATAATAATATTAAAAAAACACAACAACAATAATAATCAAAATCCATGCAAACATTACGTATAAAATAGAATTTTTTATTCACATCTTCGACGTCCTCCTTTAAGATATGTTTTCGAAATTCTTCCCTTTTCTGTCAAGAGCCCATCTCATTTCACCAATGATCACACGATACTCTAAGTGTTCATTGATAAGAAATAAGTATCTAACACATGTGTTTTCACTCTCGACCAATTTCATTGCTCGGTAATATAAGAAAACTATTCCTATAAATCATACCTAACTCATAAAACTGAGACAGAAATGCAAATGCGTTGATCCAAATGCAAATCGCCACGTTTAAGTCATTTTGTATAGAATACATCAAAACCACATTGCATAAGGCGTGTCCAGTAGCATACGACAGCGAGTTCCCATTACGCTTTCAGGGTTTGAGATAACCTAATTTATATTAATATTCAAAACCACCAACAGGAAGCAAATTTCCCCATTGTCGAGGTCTTCTGTTTGAAGAGATGTACATCTGTTTCTCAGATCAATACCTGATAGCGTCTAATAATGTGTACTTACAGGAAGATCATGTTTTGTCGTGTGCATGCTTTGCAGTGCTGCGAGTTTCTGTCGCAGTATCACCCCTATGTGAAGGTTCTCCAACAGATGCATTCAACTCATGCTTCAAACCCTACACCCACACTGAATGACTCGATGGTCTAATAAGCCCTGACAGCTCTTCCCACAGGACGTATATAGTAGTATAACAAGCAGACCTCTGTCGCCTACTTAGATCGCTACCGTTTATCTCCTAGTTAGTAACACGTTTCTCAGATCTTGCCTGAACATCAACAAAACGAAATTAAGGTACAGATGAAATGGCACACCAGTGTGCTTCAAATGAAGGTATACATGAGTCAGTGAGTGAGTGAGTGAGTGAGTGAATGAGTATGCTTTTAGCAAATTCTAGCAATATCACGGCAGGGGACACCAGAAATGGGCTTCACACATTGTACCGATGTCGGGAATCGAACCCGGATCTTCGGCGTGGCGAGCGAACGCTTTAACCACTAGGCTAGCCGACCGCCTCGAAGGTATACATACACAGGTAGTCTCATGTGGTTCACGTGAAGGTAGGCATGACCAGGTACTCCCATGTGGTTCAAATGAAGGTATACATACACAGGTACTCTCATGTGGATCAAATGAAGGTATACATACACAGGTAGTCTCATGTGGTTCACGTGAAGGTAGGCATGACAAGGCACTCCCATGTGGTTCAAATGAAGGTATACATACACAGGTACTCTCATGTGAATCAAATGAAGGTATACATACACAGGTAGTCTCATGTGGTTCACGTGAAGGTAGGCATGACCAGGCACTCCCATGTGGTTCAAATGAAGGTATACATACACAGGTACTCTCATGTGAATCAAATGAAGGTATACATACACAGGTACTCCCATGTGGTTCACGTGAAGGTAGGCATGACCAGGCACTCCCATGTGGTTAAAAAAAGGGTATACATACACAGGTACTCTCATGTGGTTCAAATGAAGGTATACATACACAGGTACTCTCATGTGAATCAAATGAAGGTATACATACACAGGTACTCCCATGTGGTTCACGTGAAGGTAGGCATGACCAGGCACTCCCATGTGGTTCAAATGAAGGTATACATACACAGGTACTCTCATGTGGTTCACGTGAAGGTAGGCATGAGCAGGTACTCTCATGTGGTTCACGTGAAGGTAGGCATGACCAGGTACTCCCATGTGGTTCAAATGAAGGTATATACATACATACACAGGTACTCTAATGTGGTTTATAAGAAGGTACACATACACAGGTACTCTCATGTGGTTCACGTGAAAGTAGACATGACCAGGTACTCCCATGTGGTTCAAATGAAGGTATACATACACAGGTACTCTCATGTGGTTTATAAGAAGGTACACATACACACGTACTCTCATGTTGTTCACGTGAAGGTACGCATGACCAGGTACTCCCATGTGGTTCAAATGAAGGTATACATACACAGGTACTCTCATGTGGTTTATAAGAAGGTACACATACACAGGTACTCTCATGTAGTTCACGTGAAGGTAAGCATGACCAGGTACTCTCATGTGGTTCACGTGAAGGTAGACATGACCAGGTACTCTCATGTGGTTCACGTTAAGGTAGGCATGACTAGGTACTCTCATGTGGTTTATATGAAGGTAGGCATGACCAAGTACTCCCATGTGGTTCAGTTGAAGGTAGACATGAACAGGTACTCCCATGTGGTTCAAATGAAAGTATACCTACATAGGTACACGCATGTGGTTTATATGAAGATATACATGAAAAGGTACACCCATGTTGTTCAATGGAGGCATACATACACAGGTACACCCATGTGGATCAAATGAAGGTATAATAGTACATACACAGGTACTCCCATGTGGTTCAAATGAAGGTATACATACACAGGTACAGCCATGTGGTTCACGTGAAGGTGGGCATGACCAGGTACTCCCATGTGGTTCAAATGAAGGCATACATACACATGTACTCCAATGTGGTTGAAATGAAGGTAGACATGGCCAGGTACACCCATGTGGTTCATGTGAAGGTAGACATGAACAGGTACACCCATGGGGTTCAAATGAAGGTATACCTACATAGGTACACGCATGTGGTTTATATGAAGGTATAGATGAACAGGTACACCCATGTGGTTCAATGGAGGCATACATACACAGGTACACCCATGTGGTTCACGTGAACGTAGACATGACCAGGTACACCCATGTGGTTCAATGGAGGCATACATGACCAGGTACTCCCATGTGGTTCAAATGAAGGTATACCTACATAGGTACACGCATGTGGTTTATATGAAGGTATACATGAACAGGTACACCCATGTGGTTCAATGGAGGCATACATACACAGGTACACCCATGTGGTTCAAATGAAGGTATACATACACAGGTACTCCCATGTGGTTCAATTGAAGGTATACATACATAGGTACTCCCATGTGGTTCAAATGAAGGTATAATAGTACATACACAGGTACTCCCATGCGGTTCAAATGAAGGTAGGCATGACCAGGTACTACCTTGTGGTTCAAATAACATGAACAGGTACGCACACGTTGTGCAACCATGTGGTACAAATGAAGGTGGACACGAATGACACGAATGGACACGAATGTGGTTCAAATGAATGAGGACATGGTTAAAGCAAGTGTATTTGATGGCACTGCCGAAACGGTATTTTCATGTTTGTAATACTGAAGGTAAAAGGGTATAGATGGGATGAACACATACAGTTTCAAATGAAAGTAAGGCGATAATGTATCCATGTTGGTTTGACTGTAGGTGGGATGAACACATAAAGTTTCAAATGAAAGTAAGGCGATAATGTATCCATGTTGGTTCGACTGTAGGTGGGATGACCATTTAAAGTTTGAAATGAAAGTAAGGCGATAATGTATCCATGTTGGTTCGACTGTAAGTGGGATGAGCACATAAAGTTTCAAATGAAAGTAAGGCGATAATGTATCCATGTTGGTTCGACTGTAGGTGGGATGAACATATAAAGTTTCAAATGAAAGTAAGGCGATAATGTATCCATGTTGGTTCGACTGTAGGTGGGATGACCATTTAAAGTTTCAAATGAAAGTAAGGCGATAATGTATCCATGTTGGTTCGACTGTAGGTGGGATGAACACATAAAGTTTCAAATGAAAGTAAGGCGATAATGTTTCCATGTTTGTCAGACTGTAGGTGGGATGAACACATAAAGTTTCAAATAGTATAGCAATGTAGATACAACCACAAGGCATAAAGAAACGGTATATGCGGATCCATGTTGGTTCGACCGTAGGTGGGATGAACACATACAATTTCAAATGAAAGTAAGGCGATACTGTTTCCATGTTGGTTCGAATATTGCCATATAGGTTCAATAATTATGTAGTTGTACTCGATGGTTGGTTTTGGTACGTGGCTGAGATGGTACATCTAAACAGGTTCTTATTAAAGAAAGATTTAAGTACTGATAACGACAGCTACTGAGGCATATTTCGTGATGGTGACAATTCTAACAGTTACTGTACAGACCATGGCAATCAAGATTATATCCTGATATTCAATATTTAAGGACATTCATGACTGGGTAACATTTAAGTTACTTTAACGTTAATATCAATGCATTATATTTCAATCGAAAGTAGACCTCTTTGTGATGGCGAATGATACATGTTTTACCTTTTATTGCAAATATACGTAAAACTCGTTGCTGGTTCCAGTGGGCAACCTATTCAATGACTATTTTTACATATTAAGATAGTTTAATGGATACAAGAATACCAATAACCAGAAAACTCATTATTCATAACATGTTTCCTCAAAGGACTAATAATAACAGTTTAATGACTGTTTACAGTGCCATCGTAGTAAATGGCATACAAAAAGGCCATCGGTGATATCACTTCTTTTCTTCGATTATAACAAGTTACCTCCTTAACGATTGAAAAAACGACCAATTCTGCTCTGATAATTACTAATGTATCCAATAACCATATTCATTAGCACGTTAATATGATTCACTTACCGTTTGGACACTTTATAATTAGATGGACAAATAAATATATTCCAATTTAAAGTTATAACTCAAAATAATGTCTGCGTTAGGCTCTGTGACTTCATAGATGAACTTCAAGTTGTTGGCAGTAAATTACAAAGTTAGCCCAGGTAAATATTGTACGTGGTTTATAGATACAGTGGCTTGTCTCCAAAAAGGTCAACTTTGCATCCTATTGAATAGTAGGATCAATAGGTGTCGAACGTCCCTAAATTCCAAGTAATTCTATAATTAGCTTGGAACTCCATTGATTCGATATAGGTTATAGCTTTGTGAAATCTTAAAAGTAATATGATGTCTAATATCGACACTTCACTTTTCCAAAAT